CAACAAACATGCATTTACTATGTTAACAAAGCAATAAACGTTTTAACAAGGAGGCTTAACGAGCATTAGACTAGGAAAAAGATTCAACCTTGAGATTTGTTGCACGTGTTTGTCTTGGAAGACAAATTCTGCTATTTGGTGCTTCGAAGAGGGTTCACAGCAAAGTCCGCCCTGGGCTTTTGGACAGATCCTCCAGGGGTGGCTTGCCCTGGGGCCCCCTAACCCGGGGCAGTCCATGGGAGCAGGGAGCCTACTTCTTGTTTAGGTCCCAACCAAGGGGGTAACTGTCCTGAAGCTCATTCAGCCAGAGCCTAGCTAGGTCTGAGAACCGGAAACGCATGGTCAAGAAGCCCATTCCAACCAGCTTTATTTCACTGTGTTAAGTTGTTTGCTCCTATGTTATGGTACTTTCCACAAAATCCCCTGGGAAGAGGGAGCAGGACAGCGGATTCGTTTCCAGGCCTTCCCTACATGCGAACCTAACACACATTCCAAGCAAAGGTAGCTGTGTGCGCGGTGGGTTGGGAGTTTCAACAGCTGTGGTCACTCTTCAGCCATTCCCGGCTTCTGGAGAGTTTTTCTCTACTAGGGTTATTAGATGACATCCAGCCGGTGCCAGCCAAGGAAATATCCTGCCTCAAGGGCCTAAAGCCCGGAACATCTAGCAACTCTTTCCAGATCCTTCCGCGCACAAGGAATGGAGGTGAGTTCGGCAGCAGCAGGCAAAGAGTATTTAAAACACCTACCAGGCGACTTTCCCAGGTTGACACAATGACTCCCCTTAAGGGCAGCTAAAACACGACAGGTTTACCAAATGACTTTGTGTGTCCCCCCCCCCCACACCCCCACCCCCGGCACAAATAGCTATAGTCTGAATTGTGACAAAAACACCATTAAAACTCTGCATTTTAAATGTGTGTATGTAAACACTTCTCTCTTAATCACATACACTCTCAGGTTATAATATTCCTCCTCAAGTCCCTCCTGGGAAATCTCAGCCAATGGTTAATTCTATAATTATCCCTTTCCCTCGGTTAAAACTGACCTTCATATAAATGCCAAACTTCAAGGAAAATGCAGCAACCGGTCTCTCTCCCAGCCTGCTTCATTATTTAGTGAAGAGAGTCGTGGAAGTACTACTAATTGAATGAAAGTGTGAATACACGCACACATGCTTTACACAGCCCAGGCCCTCAGAGTTCTTCAAACACTGAGCAAAGCTGAACGATGGTAGCAACATGCCAACAAGGGTATAACTGTAAAAATAATAATAAAATAAAAAATTTAAAAATCCAGAAAACAGGGGCACCTGGGTGGCTCAGTCGTTAAGCGTCTGCCTTTGGCTCAGGTCATGACCCCAGGGTCCTGGGATCGGGCCCCACATCGGGCTCCCTGCTCGGCGGGGAGCCTGCTTCTCCCTCTCCCGCTCCCCCTGCTTGTGTTCCCTCTCTCGCTGTGTCTCTCTCTGTCAAATAAATAAATAAAATCTTAAAAAAAATAAAATAAAAATCCAAAAAACAAAACAAGACAAAACCCCCATCTAAACAGGAAATACTGTGTATCTGCTGGATATTTATTCAGTCTGGAGGGTTTTCCAAGTTCTAGCAAGCGACACAGCAGAGGAAAGCGTGACCTGCTGTGGGAACGGCTCCCTCGTGACATCCTACAAATACAGGCATAACTTCTTTTATCCCACTCCACTTCATCGTGCTTCGCCGATAATTGCATGTTTTGCAAAGTGAAGATTTGTTGCAAACTGCATCGAGCAAGTCTATCGGCACCATCTTTCCAAAAACACCTGCTCACTTCCTATCTGTGTCATTTTGGTTACTCCTTGCAGTAGTTCCAACCTTTTCATGGTTATTGCATTTGCTACGGTGATCTGTGATCAGTGATTATGACTCACCGAACGCTCAGATGATGGTTCGCACTTTTTTAGCACTGAAGTATTTTTTAATTAAGGCATCTACGTTGTTTTTGAGACTCAACAGACGACAGTACAGTGTAAACGTAACTTTTCTATGCGCTGGGAAAGCAAAAATTTCATTTGACTCGCTTTATTGTGATAGTCACTCGCCGCGGTGGTCTGGAACCGACCCCACAGACCCCTGAGGTATTCCTCTGTGTGACTCCTAATGCGAGTGTCATGGGTTTATAGCAGCAAGTGTAAATCCTCCTTCAGCTGTCCCTAATAAACACTTTGGGGCTTAAATCAGAAAAGAATCCGAAGTTATGGTGGCAGCTGAAACAGGGTCCACTTGCGTTCCAGCCACCCAGGGCTTTACTAACTGCTGACTGGTTCTTTGTGTCAGAAAAGCAGGAGCCAAGAAAGAGCCAGTTAGGAGAATCCACTCCATTTAAGGCTGTTGCCTTATTTCTTCATTGACTGAACTGCTTAGAAACAGCATTCGCCAAGGTGCAAGTGATCTGGGTGTCCTATTGACAAACACATACAAAGACCCAGCCCGGGCTGGAACTAATAAAAACAAATGAAGAAAATGGCACCCACATTCATGTATAACTACAGGGCACCTAACATTGTGTCCGGAATGTGGCAGAAAGGCTCAATAGATATTCACTGGTTTGGATTCCTACAATCTGTCCCCCGCGCTCCCCCCCCAACTCCCCAAATCTCAATGTGGATCACGTACCAGAGCAGTGCATAAATATCATTCCGGTGCCTTGCCTCGTAAACATCTGTGCACTCAGTCCCAAGTAAACCAGGCTGGTGCAGCTCCCAGAAAAATCTGCTCCCACTTTTTCCAGCTTTGCCACAGAGCCAATGGTCAGGAAGGGGCAGCTGCACCTGTGCCCACACAAAATCCTTTTAAAAACCTAAAAGCCTGGGGCGCCTGGCTGGCTCAGTCTGTCAGGCGCCCGACTCTTGGTTTCGGCTCAGGTCGTGATTTCAGGGTCATGGGATTGAGGCCCGCGCCGCGCTCGCTCATGGAGCCGCGCTCAGTGGGGAAAATCTGCTGGAGATTCTCTCTCTCTCTCCTCCCTCTGCCCCTCCCTGCCATTCTCTCTCGGTCTCTCTAAAATAAACAGATAAATCTTAAAACAAACAAAAAAACCTAAAAGCCTGGGCAAGAATGCTAATATTAACGTTTTGCCGCTGAGGGTGGCAGGTCGAATGCTGGTCAAATCCCAGCGGAGGTTTGCCGAGGCCCATTTCTTCTCTTGAGACCATCTGTCCACATCATAGGCTCCCTTCGTACCATGCAGTGGAGGGCCAGCCACCCCTGCTCAAGCGAGGTTTTTTTCTTCCCAAATTTAGGAAAGCGTTTCCTGAGCTAGGCAGATTGAATCACTTGTTAGCAATCACCCAAGATGAGAGCCCCGGTATAAATGCCCTGCACAGCTTGCCTTCCTCTCTAAACTGGCTGTGATGACAGTCGAGGTTCCAATCTGACCCTCACAGGACCTCATTCTAAAATCAGTGAGACACACAATAAGCCAAGCCCTTTAAAACAACATTAAAGGTCTGGTTTTAGATCTGCTCAACAGCAGGATTAAACTTTCAAGGGTCCAGCCACGATAGAGAGATTTCTTTAAAGTCACTTGGCTTTGCACAGTTGTAGCTATTAGGGATCAGATCTTTATCTCAAAGGTACACATTTTACGTTTGATCCTCCTCCAGAACTCCCACTAATGTCAACTTTCTCCGCTGTTGGGATCAAGCCCCTGGCCTCCCTTTAATGTTGGCTTTATCGCAGATTCTACAAGATGAACAGAAAAATTACAAGGAAAAGCTGTGAAGTTCCCTTCCGATGATAAGTTGTTGGAACAAAAAGAGCCCACACTTAAACGGTGAAATTTAAACACAGCAGACGAGACGGCCGTAAGGTAGAGGGAGAGGAGACAAGGAGGACGAACAACAAAAACCCAAAGTAACAAAACAAACACTAATTAACCAGTCTGATGGCTTATTTAGGGTTTGCTCTCTAGTCCAGGAAACTGGCAACGAGTGTCTTGAAAACAGAAGGGGCGAGTGCCCGTTAGCACGCGTCCGCTTTCCTCCTGAGCCAGACAATCCGGAGGAGGCTGAGGGTGCGATGGAGGGCTCCCAGGGGGGTCAACGCGCTTTCAAATCCCCATCCCCCAGCCCTGCCGCCTAGGAGGCACCCCCGGCCGTGAGCGGTGGGGCTCTACCGCCCCCTCCCCGGTCCTCCATCCCTGGACTGGCACACACCATCATCCCCCAAACACGGCCCCATCTCCTCGCCTCTGGAGCGCTCCTGGGTCCCCGGGGACGCCCTCGCCCTGTGGCGGCCGACCGCGCGCGCACTCGCCCCGGAACCCCGTTGTTCGCAATTCCCTCCCTCCGCGGCCACAGCAGCAGCACCCCTTCGCCACCCATCACCACCCTCTCCCCAGTAGCGGGAGGAAGTCGCTCTGCTTCCTCTGTTCTCACCGCCCGCCCGAGCTTGGGAGCCCGGGGCTTTTTGGGTGGGGTTCTTTTTTTGTGTACACGATGTGTGTGTGTATGTGTGTGCGCGCGCGCGAGTGTGTGTGTGTGTGTGTGTGTGTGTGCAAAAACGCTCATCGCATCCTTCCGCCGCGGCTGCCTCAGGTGCCCGCAGGAGGCAATCGGGCTCTCGTCGCGCCCGGGTCCCCGGCTCTTTGTGCGGGCTCCAGGGCAGCGCGAGGTCCGCTCCCCAGCTCACGCTCGCCGTCCCCCGCCCCGGGGCCCGGTTCCGAGCGCCCGCCTCCCGCGCAGCCGGCCGAGCCCCCGAACGCCCGTCGGCGTCCCGCCGGGCGCAAGCCTCCGCCGCCGCCGGGCGGCCGCCGCGCTGTCAGCGGGCGCCCGGGACTCGGACCCCGGCAGGCGGCGGCTGGTGCGCAAACTTACTGAAGCGGAGAAAGAGAGCGCGGGGCGCAGCGGGCGGCCGCCGCCGGCGCCGTTCCAGTCCCCGGCCCCGGCCCCGCGCGCGGAAAGCCACCCCGTCGCTCCCGCCCGCAGCGCGTCCCCCGGGGCGCCCGGTGCCCCGGCCACTCACCAGCACCACGGAGCCCCGCACGGCCTCCGACACGCTCTGCCGGAGCTCGGCCGCCGTGCCGGGCTTGCTGAGCCGCTTGGTGAATTTGCGCACTTCGGCCATGGCAGCGGCGGGCAGGTCGCGGCGGGCGCACTCACTGCCCCGGGCCGGGGCGGCCACGGCCGCGGCTGCTCCCTCTGTTTACCCGCCGGCCGACCGGCCACATCGCTGCTCGGCGGCGGCGCTGCTCCCGCGGCTCCTCCCTCCCCGCCGCGGCTCCTCCCTCGTTCCCTCCTTCCCTCCGCTGCTCGCCCGCGAGCTCCGCGTCCTGCCCCACGGCGCGGCCGCTCCCTCCCCTGGAGAGCCCCCCGGCTCGGCTCGCCACGGGCCCCAGGAGGAGGGTGTGTCCGGCGAGGAAGGGTGTGTGCCGGGGGAGGGAGGACGCCGGGGGGGCGAGGGTCACGAGGGAAGAGGGGGGAAGTGGCAAGCGCTCGGGCTCCGCCCGCAGCTGATGTTGCTGGTGCAGCCGCATCCGGGAGGGGAGATCAGGCTGCTTCGAGGAGATCGGGCTGCTTCATTTTTCGTGTGTGTGTGTGTGTGTGTGTGTGTGTGTGTGTATGGGGGTGGCGTAACGAAATATCTCCAAGTGTGGGGCGTGTTCTACCCCGTGCCCCTTTCCCGCCCCAGCGGCTGCAGTGCCTGCAGGCGAGCCGGGGGACTCCCGCGTCGCCCCACCCCGCCAGCCCCCAGGGCCGAGGAGGAGGCCAGGGACTGCAAGGAACGTGGAGCGGCCGCCTATTGTGTGCTCCGCCCGGGAGGGGTCGCGCCGCGGTCGGTGGAGAGCGGGTTTCTGGCCCGAGCGGCTCGCCGGGGTCCTCCCGCGCCTACACCGCTTTCTCACCCAGGGGGTCTTGCGCCCGGGGCGGGGGGGGGCGACCCGGGGAGGGAGCAGGCTTGGGGAGTGGAAACTTGCTGTGGCCGAACCCACTCTCCCAGCCCGCCTCACCCCCAGGAGGGCGGGGGAGAACTGGGTGGCGGGGCCTGAGCCTGTGGCAGGTTGTCTAGTTCTGCGGCGGCTGTGCGCTGGGGCTGGGGTGGGGTTGGGCTCGGGCTCCGGAAGGCCCTGCCGGTCTTCTAGAAGCTTTCACATGTGCCCAGCTATCGCCTCTCCATCTCCTACTCCTCTCCTTATCCTCTTCACCTTCCGAGAAATTATTCTCCAAGAATCAAAGAACATCTTCTAACTAGATGTAAAACAAACATGCTTAAGACAGAAATAAGGATCTTGAAGTACTGGGGACCCAGAAAAAAACTCCCCAAGTGTAAAGTGAGAGGCTCCGCTGACCTTGGCAATTTTCTGTCTGCTTACTTCATTTGTTGAGAGCTTGAAAATGCCTAACAACAATTTCCGGCGAACCGAGCAGCCTTTCTAAGAAGGTTCCTACCACTTTCCCCACTTTGCCTAACTTCAGAGACCAAGCAGTGACACCTAGGTAAAGGACTTTGTTAGGAAAACAAGAACGTGGATGATGGTTTCCATGAACCCAGAAAAGGCCAAGTCTCCTAGCAGCAAATCTATTTCAGCAGCCATCCCATTAGTCCCAATAAAGCAGATAGAGGGTCCAAGAGGGCTTGGTCCCCGGCAGTCCTATAAAGGTAGAGGCTCTGTGTCACCAATCTGGGCTTTGCACAGTGTATGTCTGTAGAATTTGTTCACTGTCGAATGCATGTACATCAGCACGAATTCACGCCCTACATTCCATGGATGGCTGAGTGGCCCACACTGTTGGTTACCTGCACAGCGCCATAATTCTTTCTCTTTGCTAAGAGACCCAAGGTTTGCTTTGGCTATAGGGCAGAGTCACAGGGCTTGGAGAAGGCAGGCCCCACCCCTGATGAATTAGGGCTGGTTAAAAAAATCATGTTACTCTCACTTTCCTTTACTAGAAGGAATGGACTTGACTCCCATTCAGTTTCCACCAATGGAATATAAAAGCGGTGTGGGAGGAAGTTTCCTGAGAAAGCATTTCCCCCTTGATAAAAAGAGATAGGCAGGGAGACCTCTGTCTCCTTTTCTTTCTGAGAGGGGTGTTGTGATGCATCTGCTCTTGGCAGCCATTTTACAACCATGAGGGAAGGCCAAGATTATCTAAGAGAAGCCAATCCGGAATCTGGATGGCATTGACCTATTGAACCAACCCCAATACCGCCTGCCTCCAATTTCCTTTTTACATGATAAAAGTAAACCCTTTTGGTTTATGCAACTTTTAGTTGAAATTCTGTTACTTTCAGCCAAAAGCGTCCTTACTCCTACAGACTCTGTTGTAGTCACTGAAAGTGCACAGAGTTGGAAAAGACAGGCACTGTTCCCCTTCTGCTGGAGCTTATGTTCTAGGGCAAGCAAAGGGCCATGTTAATTTCAGAACACGATGAATAGTACGCGAGAATTAAGGGGGTGACGTGTGATAGAGAGTAACTGGAGTTGGGGACCTAATTTAGAATAGATGGCCATGGAAGTCCTCTTTGAGGAAGTGAAAACAGCAGTGAGTCTTGAGGGAAAAGAGGCAGCCCCCAGATCAAGAAGTAGAGCACTCCAGAAGGAACGACAGGTACCAGGTCCAGAGAAGGGAGCCCACTTAGTGCATTCAAAGGCAGGGAAAAAAAGGCCAGGGTGGCCGAGACACAGAAGGAAGAGGAGTGATGTGAGAGGCAGCCTGACAAGTAGGCAGTTTCTCCAGGACCTTGTGAGAGGTCAGGAGCATTTGTTAAACTGATGGTTCGCAAACACCATCTGGTCATCTTGCGGGCTCCACACTCATTCCTGAGGCCATAGGTTTCACTTTTTCACTTTAGAGCTTCTGTTTAGTTACATAAACACTGAGCATTGTGCTATGCACCGAGGGAGGATGCAGGATGCATTCAAGAAAAAGAATGGAAGTCTAATAAAGAATGTTTTTATTTTATTTTTTAAAAAGATTTTATTTATTTATTTGACAGAGAGAGAGAGAGCACAAGTAGGCCGAGCAGCAAGTCAGAGGGAGAGGGAGAAGCAGGCTCCCCGCCGAGCAGGGAGCCAATGTGGGGCTCGATCCCAGGATTCCAGGATCATGACCTGAGCGGAAGGCAGACGCTTCACCGACTGAGCCACCCAGGTGCCCCTATTTTATTTTACTTTTTAACACATTATTTTGCTGGTTTATTTTCACTGGACTTGAACATTTTGCTCTGTAGCTCAAGAGCTTCACCTGAGGGAAATATATGAAAGCAGTGGGTGCCTACAAAATCCTGGGTAACGGTTTTTTGTTGTTGCTGTTGTTTTTTAAATTCAAGTTAGTTAACATATAGTGTAGTATTGGTTTCAGGAGTAGAATTTAGAGATTCATCCCTTACATATAACACCCAGTGCTCATCCCAACAAGAATGTATTTATGATACAAGGTAGTATGTAATAAAGACCATGCTTGAGGTTAAGAGGCGGGTGAGATCACATCTGAGTAGGGTCTATGGAAGGCTCCTTGAAGGAGGAGGTGTTTGAGCTGGACCTTGAGGATGAGGACGATCTGGACGTGAATACTCACACAGTAAAGGGAAATTGTAGAGGCAATCCTACAGCTTCAAATAGGGCATTATATTGGGTGATCTCTTTTCCACATTTATTAAATATCTTCAATTTCGGGGCACCTTGGTGGCTCAGTCAGTTAAACGTCGGCCTTCGGCTCAGGTCATGATCCTGGAGTCCCGGGATCGAGTCCCACATCGGGCTCCCTGCTCGGCGGGGAGTCTGCTTCTCCCTCTGACCCTCCCCCCTCTCATGTGCTCTCTCTCTCTCTCTCTCATTCTCTCTCTCAAATAAATAAATAAAATCTTTAAAAAAAGAAAAAAAAATAATAAAAATAAAATCTTTAAAAAAATACATATGCATGTGTATCTATGTCCCTATACATGAGCCAACAGTGGGGGCCTCACGGGTAGAAAGTGGGAGTGAGGAGCAAGGGGCAAGGGGACTCCCGCATTTTATCATTTAAATGCTGCAGACTCTCAAATTTGTATTCCTGGCTGCAACCACCCGACTCATGTATCCAATTCATCATCCCAGCTTGGATGTCTCAGTGGTATCTCAAATTGAGCATGCCCAAGCCTAACTCCTATTCTTCCTCCACAAATCTACTCCTTCTATGATTTCTCCTATCTCGGTATATGACAGTTCTTTACTAGTTGTTTAGGCCACACACCTTAGCGTTGTCTCTTATATTTCATACACACCCTGAATCTAACCCAATAGCAAATCCTGTTGACTCTGGCTTCAAAGTACATCCAAGACCCAACCACTTGTCCCCACCTCTACCAATACCACCCTAGTCCCAGCTGCCAGCATCTCTTGCCTACATTATTTTAACAGGCTCTCAATTGGCCCCTCTGTAATCCCCCAATGCCCTCCTAGAGTCTATTTGTAACATACCAGTCGGTGATTCTAATCAACCCCTCTACCCGGTTTGTACTTAGAGTGGCCTACAAGATCCAATGTATAGTTATTTCTTGCCCTGCGACAAATTACCCCGAAATGGAGCAGCTTACAACAACATACATGTATTATCCCACAGGGGATCGCGAGTCAGAGTGTTGCTTAGCTGGGTCCTCCGGGTGAGGGTCTGTCACTAGCTTACGATCAATGTGTGGGTCCAGGATCCCTCACAGGCTGTAATCGGGGTTTCCGTTGAGGCCTCACTCATCTCAGGGTTGGGATGGGTCAGGATCTGCCACCAGGCTTGGATCCTCACAGGTTGCTGGACTGAGGACCTGAGTTCTTTACAACATGGGCTTCTCCATAGGGCAGCTGGTTTCATTAAAGCGAGCACACCAGACGGTGACACACTACCAGCAAGTGGAAGCCAGGGTCTTCTTTTTTAAAGATTGATTTATTTATTTGAGAGAGAGGGCACACGAGCAGGGGGGAGGGAGAGGGAGAGGGAGAGAATCTCAAGCAGACTTCCCACGGAGTGTGGAGCCCCATGACCTGAGCCGAAATCAAGAGTCGAACCCTTGGGGCACCTGGGTGGCTCAGTCTGTTAAGTGTCCGACTTGATTTCCACTCAGGTCTTGATCTTGGGGTCGTGGGATCAAGCCCTGCGTCGGGCTCTGCACTCCACCAGGAGTCTTCTTGAGATTGTTTCTCTCCCTCTTCCTCTGCCCCCCAAACCCCGCTCTCTCTCATAAAGAAATAAAATCTTAAACACACACACACACACACACACACACAGAAAGTGCCAAGACCATTCAATGG